TAAGTTGTAAAATCGTTGGTTAGGGAAGGATATAATCCGAGTACTCAACAAATTGTTGTAAGACATATACATGTCACGAACAAAATGGATTATTTCTGTTTTTTAACTTAAAAAAAGATCATTAAGTTGGCAAGTCCTGGAATATTAATTGCTTTGATCTATTTCATATTGATGTCTTTTTCTCTCGTATGCTGGTTTTACTTGGCAAATTAATGAATACTTTAATATTAGATAATTGTTTTGTTTTACTATATCATATCTTAATTAATTCAACTTACGAAGAAATATTCAGAATAGGATTTTTATTTGGCACTCTCTCTCTCTCTCTTTTTTTTTTTTATCAAAATGTAACCGTTAATTGGGGGTTTGTCTCCCGTTGAATTTACGATGATTTGATACTTAAGTATTCAGAGAGCTATATTATATGATAATTTTAAGGAATTTATCTATAATATTAAAAATGAGTATTTAACAATATTTTTAGTAAATGGGTTAAAATAACCCCTAATGTCATATGCATACATGTACAATAAAATAGAGTTAATTGAAGTATCAGAATGTGAATAGTGGTTTCAATGTCTAACTTTGGTAAAATTATTTTTTTTTTCTGTATTTAAAAATAATTTTAATGCTTTTTGATAATTTTTTTAACAAAAAAGAAAGAGCATGAGACACAAAATGTTAAGCATAGGCATTTGTATTCAGACACGCTATATGACATAACAGTGCATCTAAATATATTTCGTTTGTTTATAAATTAAACCTTTTTTGCGTGGCATAATTCATTTTTAAATGAATCATTTTATTATTATTTTTTTTTACTTTTTGCTAAAATCTATATAAGATTTTAACGATGTGAAACATGTTATTACAGGTATTTTAAACCACAAAGCAATATATTCAGTTTTTGTTCGCAAAATATATACAAATCACATGGTTTTGTTTTATGGACTATATCAAGACCCAATTTCACTCCAAAAATACTCAATGCCCCAAATTAGCCAAAATCTAGATCTGGATCCTCTACTAATTCTATTCTATCAACACTGAACCAGTTGTTAAGACAATTTCATGCACAGCATTCCTGCAAAAATAAAAAATAGCAAACAAGCCCTATCAATTACACATCTAACTGAATTAAACATATTTTTTTGCAATATATGCTCAATGGGATTGGGCACAAGTTCACTAATCTAATCAAGTTCACACACATCTAATAAAAATCAATCCTTTGTATATTATCAATAATACTATCAATGCTATCAATAATTATCAATCCAGGCACAAAAGTAAAAAGCTGCTAAATTATTGGTTAAATTTGTCCAGTAGATCACTTGTGGAGTGTGGAGATGTTCTCTGCGACCTAAGAACTTTATACATATTAGAGATTCGGAAGCACATAATGCCTGCTGTGATAATCAGTCATACTCGCAAATGTACGCAAGCATTAAAGCGTTTGGAACTCGTAAATATACTTACCTTGTCATTGGTCATTTGCAAAATTATTTTGTTAAAAAACATTCTGATTGTACACACAAGTTCTCTGAAGTTGACATTAAAAAGATGCTTGAGTTTCTGATTGACAATATCTATGTGCTTTTTGGAGACCAGGTCTTCCAACAATCTATTGGAATTCCTATGGGAACCAATTGCGCCCCGTTATTAGCAGACCTTTTTTTGTATTCATATGAAGCAGAATGTGTCCAAAATTTTGTACGTGAAAAGAAAAAAACACTTGCTGTGGCGTTCAACTCGACATTTAGATATATCGACGACGTATTGTCAATTAACAATGGCTATTTTCATTCTTATGTCGATACGATATATTCTGGTGAACTTGAGATAAAAGATACCACAGAGTCTGACACATCTGTTTCATATTTGGATATTTTACTTGAAAAAGACGTTAATGGTAATCTAACAACCAAGCTTTATGATAAACGTGATGACTTGAACTTTTCAATCGTCAACTTCCCTTACTTATGCAGCAATATACCTTCATCACCTGCATACGGGGTATATATCTCTCAGTTGATTCGATACTCAAGAGCATGCTCTACGTATGTACAATTTCTAAAACGAGGTAAATTATTGACAAATAAGTTGATGAAACAAGAATATCAACTGTCTCGTTTAAAGTCATCATTTCGTAAGTTCTATGGTCGATACAATGACCTTGTCAGCAAATACAATTTATCATTGAGTCAAATGCTGACTGACGTTTTTCATATTAATTGTTAGGCCATTATTTACACACTGAATTGTCGACGGAGTTTTCCGTTATTTCCCGATCATGACAAGGAGCACACGGCGGGTGTGACCGGTCGGCAGGGGATGCTCACTCCTCCATGGCACCTGATCCCAACTCTAATGTTTGAGAGGTCCGTGTTTGCTCTGCTCCTATTTTGTATTATGTAATGGACTTTTGAGCTTGAATACTGTTCGTTATCTCCATATATTTCATCAATTGTCTGTATCAATCTGATATATTTGTGTTCTCTGTATATACCAACATGTATTTAAACGTGTTTAATTATTACTCCCGTTGTTATGGGACTATTATTTTGTCTAAGCATAGTACTACAGTTACTTGTTTATGCATTTTCATAAGCACAAGAATATCTTCAGACTTTCTCTAGAAACTGATGAAAATGGCCTATCTAAGATATTTAAGGAGCAAGTGTCCTGTCTTGAAATTAGAATATATGCACTATTTTCATATTCACAATACCTGCAAATCTATTTTCTTACATTAATAATTTTACCTGCTGTTTACTGAGATTATACATGACATTTTTAAATAATTACACCCTGCTCTACTCAGTAGGTTGGTTAAAACCGTAATTTTAATCTTTCTCCGATTTTCACAACAAACTTTATTTAATCGAGGATACCCTCTTGGCGGCCGTTTGCCAGTTGTATTTTTTTGTTAAAAACATTCTGATTGTACACTCAAGCACTCTGAAGTTGATATTAAAACGATGCTTGAGTTTCTGATTGACAATATCCATGTGGTTTTTGGAGACAGATAAATGTGGTTTTTGGAGACCAGGTCTTCCAACAATCTGTTGGAATTCCCATGGGTACCAATTGCGACCCATTGTTAGCAGACCTATTTTTGTGTTCATATGAAGCAGAATTTATTCAAAATCTTATACATGAGAAAAAGAAATCTCTTGCTGCGGTTTTCAACTCGACAGTTAGATATATCGACGACGTATTATCAATTAACAATAGTTATTTCCATTCATATGTCGAAACGATATATTCCCAGTGAACTTGAAATTGGGCTTGATATTTTACTAGAAAAAGACGTTAATGGCAATCTAACAACAAAGCTTTATGATAAACGTGATGAAATTTAACTTTTCAATCGTCAACTTCCTTTCCTTATGCAGCAATATACCCTTATCACCTGCATATGGGGTGTACACATCTGTATCTCTCAGTTGATTCGATCCAAGAGCATTCTCTACGTATGAACAATTTCTAAAAAGAGATAAGTTATTGACAAATAAGTTGGTGAAATAAGAATATCAACAGTCTCGTTTAAAATCATCATTTTGTAAGTTCTATGGTCGATACAATGACCTTGTCAGCAAATACAATATCATTAAGTCATATGCTGACTGACATTTTTCATACTAATTGTCATACCATTATTAACACACTGAAATGTCGACAAATTTTTCCGTTACTTTCCGATCATGACAAAGAGCACACGGAGGGTGTGACCGTTCGGCGGGGGATGCTCACTTCTCCATGGCACCTGATCCCACTTCTGATGTTTTTGGAGGTCCGTGTTTGCTCTGCTCCCGATTTGTATTGTTTTAATGGACTTTGAGCTTGACTACTGTTCGGTATCTCCATATTTCATTTCAGATTCTATAAGATAATATTTGTTTATTTATTAGTACGTATGTGTTGGGGGGTCTTTTTCACAATATACACATTTTGGAAACATCTTAATTTTTATTTTACACTATGCTAAGTCGATATTAATTAATTGGTTTTAGTATTAAATTTATTAATCAGTTTGCCAAATAATTAATGCCATTTGAGCATTAAACTATTGTTTCATAGGGGTTGTGGGTTTTTAATTTATTTCGTGATTCCTCTCCGAAATGACTGCGAATATTAACAATTCGCGTAAGTCTTGCGCCACAGTTTAATATGAAATGATGGTGAACCCTGCTTTCGAGGGACCCTTAAGGGCACTCTATATAAAGTTAACATAAATATACTGCCGACGAAGTTTTGCTAAAGATTGGTTTCAGAGTAATACCAGAGCAAGATATTCCAGAAAATCACTTGTAAGGATGGCTATCGAAACATGCAGCTAAATTCCAGTGCCTGACAAAGAACAAAGAAATTCTGTACAACATTCTTTCTGTAAACTTGCACGGTTATTGTACAGCATGGAGTCAAGAAGTGATAAAAAAGAATTACGACATTAATTTATGACACATCTTATCAAGCACTTCCTTTGTAATGAAATATCACAATATCAGGGCCAAATATTTGTGATTATTAACAGCAAAAATGAACGTCTATCTGTCAGTAATAAAATGGTGCAATGTTTGTTGTAATAGAATTTCATTTTTTAAAAGTGAAATTATTAAAGTGTAACGTAAAAGATATACTAGTTTTGTAGTCTTTGATTAATATTAAAGTACGAAGAGCACAAATTGCGAAACATATTGGTGTTTCAAAAATAAGGAGGGTTATTTTTCCTGCTTTTTTTCAGCCTAACAACATTCAATTTTGCAAGCTCATTCATTGAAGATTCATCTTATTTATACATAGTTTTATCCATAAAGAAAAATGGGATTTGACAAAAGGCATACCTATTTTAGCCCTGTCATTGAAATATATAAGCAGAGTAGAAAATTTTTATCTAATTTTAAAAAATGACTGACATGTTTTCATCGAGAAATTTCTTTTCCTATAAATATGAATTTGTGAAGAAATGATATCAAAGTCAAACTTTTGCATTACAGGAGCTATGTTGATGGCAATATACCTGAAGGGTCTCACAGACGAAGAGACGGTTTGCCTTACAGGGGCTATGAAGGACTCGGGAGATGTGCTGGGTCCCTGGCCAGCGGAGTGGGAGGGCAAAATCGTAGATAAACACAGTACAGGTGGCGTGGGTGACAAGATCAGCCTCATTTTAGTGCCAGCTCTGGCAGCATGTGGAATGAAGGTAACATAATATATAATGATCTGTAAATTATGGTGCATAAGTAATCAACCACAAAATACCCTATAAAAATAGTAGGTTGTTTAAATCTTGCAGGTTCCGATGGTATCGGGCCGTGGCCTAGGTCATACTGGTGGAACCTTAGATAAACTAGAGTCTATTGAAGGTCTGTCCGTCGCAGCGTCTAAGAATGACATTTTGCGGATTTTGACGAATGTCGGCTGCTGCATTGTGGGTCAAACAGACAATCTTGTTCCCGCCGACAAGGAAATGTACGCCATTCGTGACGTCACTGGAACAGTCGATAACATGGGGCTTATTGCAGGTTTCAAAATATTTCCTGCAAACTGAACCTAGTTAGCACAAAGTGTTACTTATTTTGCAATCTTTTTTAAATAGTAATGTACAAAATCAATATACGTACATAATTAAGATTGATTGTAGGTGAAGAAAAGTTACTGAAATCAATGAGAAAAAAACCATTTTAAAAGCCTTTTAGCATATCTTACAGCAAGAAGGCAGTCCAGTTGCAAATGAACAGTGACGAGAAATGTCATATTTAAACAATGAACTCAAGGATATCCGATCCTCAGCCAGGAAGGATAACTCTTAAATTTATTAATTTATTTAAAAAGTCTCAAAATTAAGCTTGAAATTGAAATCTTCTCGTGCACAATTTTCATTTTATGCATCTCATCATGATTCAAGGTGATTTGATGTCTTAGAAAGGTTTTGTAAAAAGTTGACATTTGTACCCCATAAAAAGAAAAAAAGTAAATTCATTTTTAGAGAAATCGAATTTCCTTTAATCTAGCATTAGATACCAATGCTTATTAGCAAGATATGAAATTAGACGTGATATGTGATGCCTAGCAATGATAGCACAAGCTTTTTACACTATGTATTGCATGAAAATTGAAGCAAATAGAAGGACTAATAAACTGTTTAAGCATACAAAAATGGAATTTTCCTCAAATGCCTGGATATATATATATTTTTTTATCCTAAAATATATTGTTTGATCAATTTTCAATTAGAAAATGCATAGCTGGTGCTTTTATTCGCATTTCCTGAAAATATATTTTAGATATGATAATTTCCCCTATATATAATATGATTAACTATAATAATGAACTTTGAAGAAATACCATGGGTAAATTCATGTTACTCTGTGAAATCAGAGACATTTTTGTGAGCATTTTCAATTACTTAAAAGCTGATTTTCAGAATCTGAGGATCTGACTACCTTAATATACATATAAATGATAAAGAACCTCTGACAAAGTTAAGGAATAATTCATCTTAAAATATGCTTTTATCTCAGGTTCCATAATATCAAAGAAAGCAGCGGAACACCTAAACGCACTTGTGTTGGATGTCAAATTCGGTGTAGGGGCTGTTATGGTAGATGAAGTGAAATCGAGAGAACTGGCGAAAAAGATGGTAACGCGTGCAAAAAATCATCATTTAAAAACAGTCACTCATTATTTTGAGTAAAAATAGTGTCAGACTCTGAAATGCGTCACAAAAAATTAATATCTTAAGATAGAAGGTATCGACTTTTGCCATTGTTGTAAGATACACATATGTTATGTTACTTATGACCTAAAGTAACATTCCTGTGAAAAACTTTCCTCTGTAATGTGTTGGTAAAGAACAAGTCAATGAAAACGAAACAACTGAAATTCTAACGCTATAAAATTTAAACATGAAATATTAATTTACATCTTTTTATGTACATGTGCACAGGTAGACATCGGAAATGGTTTAGGGATAAAAACAGCGGCCTTAATAACTGATATGAATAACCCAATAGGAAAGATGATAGGTAATGCTCTAGAAGTTGCAGAATCTGTGAACTGTCTCTTTGGGAATGGACCAATCGAATTAGAGGATCTTGTTCTCAGTCTGGGTAATTATCATTTTGAAAGGGACAGATACTGATGTCTACAATTCTATCAAGAAACTGAAATGTTGGTGCAATTGCAAACATGCGATATGCTGTAAGAGATCAGGTGTAATGTGACATTTAATAGATAATTTTCTTTTTATCTTTTTCGATTTTTTATTGTACTATACACTTTTTGCTACTTTTAGTCGCTATATACTATTAGTCATTGTTTTACATGTCACCTTATTTCAGGTGGGCAATTGATGCTTCTTAGCGGGAATGCAAGTTCTGTAGATGAAGGACGAACGAAACTCAAAGAAACTCTTTCCAATGGAGAAGCAGCAAAGAAATTTAAGGAAATGATAATTGCCCAGGGAGCCGATCCAGAAAAAGCCGAGATCTTGTGTACAAAGGGAGCTGATGTATGGAGTGTACTCCCAGAAGCCAAACACGTGACCTCACTGAAAAGCAAATGTTCTGGTAAAATTTGTTTTTTTTTATTGTTCATGATATGTTGTTTCAACGTTTTTTTTTTAGATACTGTGTTTTTTAATAATACAAATTTCATTTTTAATGGTAGGTTATGTCTACACCATAAATTCACGTACCTGTGCAGAGTGTTCTCTAAAGCTTGGTGCTGGGCGCCAAGCAAGTACAGACAAAATAAATTATGCTGTCGGCTTAGAATTATGTGTTGATATTGGCTCCAGCATCAAAGAGGGTAAGTCTATTAATATTGAAGGCCCGTTTTAAGAAAAATCTGTAAGACCAAGTATTGAACGGAGTCTTTTGTTCCTTGTCATTTGAATTCAATTTTGAAAATTCAAGCTATAATAATTATCGAGTAGAATGTTTTCTGAAATGGGTCTCTTTTTAAATTTTTATATATCGGAAGAGAGAGAGGAGTAAATTATTGATTGATTAATTTTATATTGTTGTACTCCCATTCGAGAACTTTCACACAAATACGAACGTCACCATATATCGATGAAGGGCTTCAAATTTAGGCGTACATTCGGCACTCAGGGCCATTGAGCAGTGAGGGTTCATCATCAAGGTTTCGTTCGAAAGACACACGACTTTCACTTTTAGTGCCGGGCGCTTGATGAAGGTACATTTACGTCATAGGTTTGACTCAACGCGGCGAACGAGAATCGAACCGGGGCCTCCCGATCACGAAGCGAATGCCCTACCACTAGGCTACTGTGACCGATGGGAGTAAAGTAAAAAATAGAATTATTACCTCAGCTCAGAAGAGATATCGGATGCATATTTTTATCAGTTTTCGTATCTATGTTTGCTTGAGTATGGTCATGGTTTAAATCATTCATATTCTGGCGTTTTAGAAAACACACACGACATGGTATTCTAAATATTAAATTTTTTTATAACTATGTAAAATAAAACTTTCATATATACTAGACACGAGAAAATTTCTTTTTGAGACATAGGTTTTAAAATACATTTCTGTCTTGTTTTAAAAAAAAAACTGTTGTCTTTCAGGTGACACTTGGATCAAAGTTCATCATGACTGTGACGTCATTCCTGATGACATAATGAGGCTTCTTAGTGGGGCTATTAATGTTCAAACCTCAAAACCAGAAATCCTTCTTACTCGTGTCAAAGATACCATATCTTAAAGCCTATAAAAGGAAATACAATGCTGAACTTTGATGATTTAATATTTTTTATGATGATTTTTTTTATCTTAAGTTCAATTGTGATTTTCAGTTTCATTGTTAAAGAGTATTGTTTGGTTTTGCAGCGAAGCCTTTAAAGACATTAAAATCATTTAAGCGCTTTACCAATTCCTGTTAAAATACGGATCTTATCTATCCATCTAAAGATCTAAAGGCAGCATGTATACAAATTGATCAATATAAAACTGTTTTAGAACAATTTTTTCTATTATTATCTTGAATATGCACTTTAGAGTATTTTTTTTTTGCATGTGTGTTTGCTTTTTTTTCATTTTCAATTTTTTTCCCGTCAGGTGATGTATTTTGCTAGATATAAATCTAGATTTATACATTTGTATATATCATAATTATACAATGAAATTGTAAACGAGACCCTGTATCTAGATCTGTGATTATCAATAGTTAAAAATGTTTAATTTTAATATATTTTTTAAAACTTTCTTTGGTTTTATACTTAAGTAATTTTTATTTTATTTTACAAAAGGCTTAAAAAGATAGATAATTTTTAAATTATATTGTAGGTGAACCCATAGATTTGGTAGGAAATACGTGTATTACTCCATGCTTCCTACATTACTTTTGCCTTTGACATATTAATACTTATGAACAATATAGAGATATAATAAAACATTATTAATTATATTGATAATTCTAAAGTTGTGATGTTAAAGGACGCGGATTTTTGAAAACAATCATTAACAAAAGATTTTAATGTAATACTTTACGTTTATTTATCATAATGTCCATATTTTGTAAATTTCTTATAAATTTTAACAGTATTTTACAATACGTTGATGTTCATATGGTTTACAAGTATTTGAGCAAGGATTATGATAATTGTTGAATGTTGATCCCTTTAAACAATAAAATTCTAGCAAAAATTATAATAAGTTCTGTCAACACATTGTGTGCCCAGTTTGATGGGCCTTTATAACAAATCTCGTTGACATGAAAATTGTCATTTATTAATGTATGAATGACAGATAATATGCAATGGTAAAACCAATCAATAATAATCAAGATATATGTGAGAAATCACAATCAAAATACATTTAATATCCATTATAAAATGGCCAATCGAAGGTGGGGAACTTAATGTATGTCCCCATATCAAAATAAATATTCTTCAGAATCATTCTTTAAAGAGAAGAATCTCTCAGCTGCCAACTAAACTATTTGCAAACAAATCAAAATTTCAATATCTAATATCATAATATGCGTCAGAGTGGAAGGTGGGAAAACTTTTTTTTATCTGGACTTGACCTTTAATAGGAGAAATTTCTAGAAAACGCCGATGTGCACCTGTACATGACACAAAAAGATTTACCTCCCCTACTCTACACTTGAATGGTAAAGGATATAAACCTCTAAGAAGATAAACAGATCTACAGTTTGCTGAAAATGAGTTTATTACAATAACTACAGTTTAATATTTTGGTCAGATTTTTTTTTTTGATCAATCGAAGGCGTGTATGCATAAAATTATCACGCGAGTAAACTGATTGATCATCATCATAAAAGAAAAAAAAATATTATTAAGTTTCTCTTTATGTTTTTTCGTGACTCAATAAAAAATAGAAATTTTGTTGTGAATTAATAAATAATATTAAAACTATAATCCAGAAAATTCAGAGTAGAAATACGAGAAAGCAAAACCTACTCACCAGTATTATCAGTTCGTGCTCAGTGCTGTGTGCAGAGTTTAACACATTGAACACACCCGGTGAAACGGAACATTAACAATAACAGAGCTTGTGCCCTGTTTACAAAAATAGATGTTCTATGTGATGTAAAGAAGAATTATTGTCATTGAATTCTAGGAATATTTATGTAAGTTCCATTCATTTATCTGTTTTTTTTTGCTTTTTAAATAAGCACAGAATTTTAAAATGTAAACAATGCAACTGTGTCCAAGACCCTTTAAAATCTGTAGATGCGTAATAACTAAAGCTCCATAAAACTAAAGCTCTCCATTGCAACGTAACGTCATCAAACGCCGCAATTTTTCGCTGTTGTTGTTGACCACTTCCCATTTAAATTCTCGGTAAACTGCCCAAATCTAGGCATATGCCTTGAAATTTTAAATATGACGACATAATAGAAAGTGACTTAAAATATGATATTTTACCCAACCTAACCTATTCATTGCTTTCATTTCGAAATTCGTTCAATAAAATAGATATGCTAAAATTTGATATTTGACGTTTTTGAAAATTTCAGCTCAACGCGTTGTTCACAATTTTACCGAACATCCTTCGGAAAAAAAACTGATCGTCATATGATTGATTTGCTAATCTGGATACTTTTATGCTTTTTATTAGTACTGTTCATTAAGTTAATTTGGAACACTATTTTTGAGATATTTGTTTCTTTAAATAAAAACTGTTGTTTGTTTGAATTTTTACAAACATTTTCATTAAAATTTACTAGGCCATTATTTTCATACTGTTTTGTGATAGGGAGGTCATGAGTTCGAATCTCGGCCGCGACTGACCTAAGTCGGTAAAAAATGGGTAGCAACTGTTCCTTCGCCATATGCTCGGCACTTTGATGTGAAAGTTGCAGGTCCTTCTGATGAGACCTAAAAAACTGAGGCCCCGTGTCACGACAGGCGTTGGCACGATAAAGATCCCTCACTACTCAATGGCCCTGAGTGCCGAGTAAAGGTCAAAATTTGAAGCCCTTCACCGGTATATGGTGACGTCTCTAAATGAGTGAAAAATTCTCGAATGGGACGTTAAACAATATACAATCAATCAATCATACTGTTTTGTCTAAGGATTACTTAATGAACAGTATATATTGTGAGCAGAGCAAGCACGGATCTCTGGAAACACCCGAGGTTGGATCAAGTGCTAAGGAAGAGAATTCATCCCCTGTGAACGAATCACACTTGCACAGAGCCGCTTGTACCTATCGGGAGAATCCTTAGACAATTCAGTCAGAAAAAATGGCCTAACAATTAGAATAAAGAAGTCAGTAAACCTTAGTAGATATATTTTTTGCAATTTGCAGACTTTGGCTGTAAACGAGATTGCTGTTACCCTTGCAGCATCGACTTATTTGTCACTAGCCTGCTTCTTTTTAAAAATTGTTCGTATGTTCTATACGACTAAATATGAACAATTTACAATACGACATTTTTTATCCGTCTTCGATATTAACAAAATCAAGACAATAACTTCATAATGTCCCCATCTAAATCACATCTGAAATGTACTATCCCGTCACTTCATGTTGAAATTAAAAAATATAACAACATCGATTTTCACCAGAATGTGTTATTTTTAAATTTCGTAAAGTATTTCTAAAATGCATGCCTCAATATTGCATTTTACAAGTACTATCTAATTATTTAACCGTCTAGATAAATACACAATAGAACCTTTCCCATGTGTAATTTGACATAGCGCTCCTACATGTACTCTCTAGTCATACCAAATTAAATAGGAAGTATGTTAACCTCGTGATATCCCCATTAAACCGTTTAAGATTTTTTTTATATGTCTTTATTTAGTCAATGCTTAACCATCTCAGGAAATACGTGATGGCTTTTTATATTTTGTTCATTGGAGGTGTTTATTATTCCCAAACAGGTATGTAGATGCTGTAGTATATCTTATGCTTATACTTATTTCACGGTTGCTTTGTTCTGCAATTCGGGATAAAGAAGAAACATAGCTGTCTCATTCTCAACAAATACTGCAAACTACATTGGAGAGTTTGTGGAAAGATAGATTGATTGATTGATTGTATGTTGTTTAACGTCCCTCTCGAAAGCTGCAAATTTTGTCCTATACTCGACACTTACGGCCATTGAGCAGTGAGGATCTTTTTCGTGCCAGCACCTACTGCGATACGGGACCTCAGTTTATACGGTCTCATCCGAAGGACAGGTCTCCACGTCCCACAGTGGGATTCGAACCCGCGACGTAAAGATCAACTCCTTACTACGCGACTCTAGAGCAGACGCTCTAACCACTGCACCACGCGGGCGACCGGAAACATAGATATAATTGATGAATAACATATTGTCAATAACTCAATTAATCAGATTGCTCGTCATTTCTTAATTCATATATAAAATCTAAAAGAATTTGCTATTTGCCACATTTATCAAGCTTTTTAACCGTCAATTTTATAGAAGTATACCATATTTCATTGAAAAAGAAATAAATAAAATACATTAGAGGTCTTCTGAAATAAACACTCTATTGAAGCTTTTAAAGAAATGTGCAAATCACTTTCTAAAGAGGGATTGAAAGTTGTGTTTTTGTTGGAGCAGACTTAATAATAAGAACTTAATTAAACGCAAGTTATGCATATAGTACAGGCTGCATTATTATTTTTTTTCAAAGAAACACAAAGTGAGCTAAATAAGCGATTATTGAAATTAGCTGTTCATATCTATATAAAACACACTGATTAATTCAGTTTTATAATTGGTACGTTTTCTTCATTCAGAGCAATAAGGAATTTTCTTCTGGTCTTCGTATCATGATAAATGAAAAAAAAAAAAGAAATTGAATTAGTATCATCTCAATTGGATTCATAAATTTCTTATATATCATATAATAATTCTACATGTTGGCTCGTATTCATCCAATCAGTATAATGATTATACTGATTTTTGTTATATTGATGATAAAAAATTGTATAAATGATCCTTCGAAAAACAAGACTTTAGATAAAACCCATATATATATATAGTAACTGACGCATCCTAAAACATATATTGTCTATCCTTTGGACTTATTAGTCACCTCTCTCTCTTTCATGTGTAAGACTGCTTCATTTTATTACTAGAAATATTTAATCCCTGGACAGATCATATCAAATGACTGAATAGCCTACATTGTGTTTGGCTCATACTGCTTTCAGATATAACAATGTGAAATTGTTACTCATCTATAAATATCTACATTACCTCGCAAGACCTTGCGTAGTACTGTGCACTTATAAGGGAAAATTCTTCTTCATAAAATAATGTATCATACTTCAACTTATAAAATATAGAGTTAAGAAAGTTCCTCATGTGGCAATGAAAAGAAAATCGTATTTTACTTTTGTAAAAAAGTTTAAATTTTATTTATAAAAATGTTAAATTTTCCTTTCTAGTGTCAATTACAAGTATATACAAGAGGAACTGATGCAAAAGTCAAATATTCGCCGAAATTTCAATCTTGATACAGATTTTCCTAGCATGGATTATATTTTTGGCAGTAATGTAGGGAAAACAGAATCATTTAAGATTTTCTGAGGGAGCTTTGTTACATGCCGAAAGTTATCGTGAGTTTATAGTATTATTTAATTGTGTTTTTAAAAATGAAATTACACCACTGTTCGATTTTATGAAGCATATTTTACATGAAAATATGAACATATTTTTATTTGTCTAAAAAAATAAGGTGAGGGTAATAATGATCAATCCATCAATCCCATTAACGATACAATAGTGAACAGGGCAAAGACACGAACCCTTGGAGACACCATCCCCTGTCGACTTGTCAAACCTACATATAACATGAATAAGGGATATTGACGATGGAAAAGAACTCCATCCTGTTTGCCATATAGTATAGTTGTTAGTTTCTCCTGAACATCTATAAACTCAGACGTCCAAATATGAAACAAATGTGACA